GAGGAACTGGCCCCCCGTCACCGCCAGCGGGCGCAGAGATTCGCTTGCTCCTTGCCGACCTCTGGCTTTAGCATGAATGCCGGGACCTCTACCACAAGTCCTGGCAGTCGGCCTCCTGCGTCGACTACAACCAAGGGACCTGGGTTGAGTCCTCGGCCAAGAGAGAAATGGTTGGACACGCGTCATTTCACTTGATGCTTCTGTTCTCCCACCCGTAAATAGGTACCCAGGAGTTGAGCAAATGTTGGGGGGATTGCATCGTGTGGCAGGTCAGTCATTTGTCTTGGGTTGTCGAGGTCCACCGCTAATACTGAATTACTCTCCCACAACGGGGAAGTGGGGGCGATGGGGGGGGGGAGTGTGCGAGTAGGTGTGTGTGTGTGTGTGTGTGTGTGTGTGTGTGTGTGTGTGTGTGTGTGTGTGTGTGTGTGTGCGTGTGTGCGTGCGCGCGCGCGAGAGTAGGTTGTGTGTGTGTCTGTGTTTGTGTGTGTGTGTGTGTGTGTGTGTGTGTGTGTGTGTGTGCGAGTAGGTTGTGTGTGTGTGTGTGCCAGTAGGTTGTGTGTGTGTGTGCGAGTAGGTTGTGTGTGTGTGTGCGAGTAGGTTGTGTGTGTGTGCGAGTAGGTTGTGTGTGTGTGCGAGGAGGTTGTGTGTGTGTGTGCGAGGAGGTTGTGTGTGTGTGTTTGAGGGGGGGGAGAGTGGCGTCAACCCGCTGGTTGGGTTATCGGGGTGTGTCTATCAGTCTATTCCGTCATGTGTATCGACGCTGTAAACCAACGTTTTTAACGAAAAAAAAATAGTAGTTTTACTATCCATGAGTGGTTGAGGTAGTGGTGGTGGTAGTGTGGTAATGGTGGTGTAGCTACTACCACCACCACCATTATGGTGTAGTGGGTAGTGTAGTGACTATTAAAACAAGGTGAATCGAGGTAGCGCGTTGAGAGCCGACTAAGCGAGCGTTGATTGGCTGGCGCACTCGGCCCAGCTAGCCAATGGTAGTGGAGGTTTGTGGGGAACTAGTTTGGCCCGCCACCGCCAGGAGTGCCTCGTGCTGGAACTGTCTGCCAGCACCACACACCTCCCCTTCCTTCCTTCCTTCCCCTCTCCTGTTCCGTCTCCCCTTCCCAACCACTTAGTGGACGGTAGAACGACGGTCTCGCTTCATGCAGGTCGGCGTTCAATCCCCCGACCGTCCATAAGTGGTTAGGCACCATTCCTTCCCTCCGTCCCATCCCAGATCCTTATCCTGACCCCTTCCAAGTGCTATATAGTCGCAATGGCTTGGCGCTTTCCCTGATAATTACCTCCCTCCCCTCCCCCCTCCCCCGGGGGGGGGGCCTGACAGCTGAGTGGACAGCGCTTCGGGTTCCTAGTCCTGAGGTTCTGGGTTCGAGCCCCGGTGCAGGCGGAGATAAATAGGTAAAATGTTTCTTTCACCCTGATGTGCCCCTGTTACCTAGCAGTAAATAGGTACCTGGGAGTTAGCTGCTATGGGCTGCTTCCTGGGGGAGATGGAGGCCTGGTCAAGGACCGGGCCTCGAGGACGCTAAGTCCCGAATTCATCCCAAGATAATCCCCCTCCCCCCACACAAGGTCGTTCTATATATACCTGTTCCCCAAGCTCACTTTGATTCCCATTCCTTTGGCACTTAAGAGGGGGACGGAGGACTACATATATGGAGCCAAACACATCGAGTGACAACAGCTGTTGTAAATAATTCATCCACGTCCATGTGTAAGAGTGTAGGGGTGACCAGACTTCACCTTCACAGCCAAGGGTGAGGTGGGGGTAGTGTGGTGCACATCCCCCTGTCCCTTCTTCCTCCCACACGCGATAGTTCCCTAAGGTTGGTGCGCTAATCTCTTCTCACAAGATACCAGCAGCTTCGCGCTTTGAAATCCCACGGGAACACGGGAGATCCTTTGTCACAAAGTCGGGATAAGATGATTTCTAGGGCAGTGTGAGCTGAGACCTCAAACTGGACGGGTGTGTGGGTCTTTTGTGGGGGCATTGCAAGAGAGGGAGACGGACTTCTGGTGTCTCCCAAGGATTATATCACATCTGCATGTTGAGTGAGTACATAAGAACATAACATAAGAACAAAGGCAACTGCAGAAGGCCTATTGGCCCATACGAGGCAGCTCCTATCTATAACCACCCAATCCCACTCATATACATATACACTTGTACTTGTCCCTTATGTTCTAACATCACAAGCATCGATCATTCTAATTGCACATAAGAGATCACACTAACGTGATGCATCAAATGAACAAATCCACAAGGGCCGTGACGAGGATTCGAACCTGCGTTATTTTAAGCAGGTTAGATTTTAGCTGCGAGGATTTTTAACCCTGTCGTAGCTCAAGTCGATTAAGGCAGTGTCTGGGATGCTCCCGGACGCAGGTTCGAATCCTCGTCATGGCTCTTGTGGATTTGTTCAATCTAATTGCCTTGTTAGGGTAAAGATGGCGTTGGATTTTAATGAAAAGTCTATTTATAATTATAAGATTAGTTTTCTTGTGTATCAACTCGCTTCTATCATAACAGAGGGTGTGCTAGGCACAGGTTTCCTCTGGCCATTTCCCTCGGTTTGTTGCTGACATTATTACATGTTAAATGACCTCCTTCCAAGCCATTAAGGAGTAATTATGAAATGTACCCAATTAGATTGAGGTGAGAATTGCTTGAATGATGGTAAATAGTGAGATATCTCTACTTTTACCTCTGTGCCGTTGCTGACTTTGGTGGAGCTAGTTGCATTGTAATTACCTAAGTGTAGTTACAGGATGAGAGCTACGCTCGTGATGTCCCGTCTTCCCAGCACTCTTTGTCATATAACGCTTTGAAACTACTGACGGTCTTGGCCTCAGATCTTATGTGGTCGTGTGCGCGCGCGCGTGTGTGTGCGTGTGTGTGTGTGTGTGTGTGTGTGTGTGTGTGTGTGTGTGTGTGTGTGTGTGTGTGTGTGTGTGTGTGTGTGTGTGCGTGTGTGCGCGTGTGTGTGCGTGTGCGCGCGTGTGTGTGCGTGTGCGCGTGCGCGTGCGTGCGTGCGCGTGCGTGCGTGTGTGTGCGCGCGCGCGTGTGTGCGTGCGTGTTCCCTCTATCTCTGGTAATTGCCTTCCACTCAACCTTGAATTAATTACCTTCCACTTGGGCTGGACGGGAGAGCAACGGTCTCTCCATGCAGGTCGGCGTTCAATCCCCTGACCGTCCAAGTGGTTGGACACCATTCCCCCCCCCCCCCCATCGTTACTGTGCGGTAACCTTTCGCCATCACAAATCCTTGTCTTGATTTCTCCTCGATGCTCTTTCTCCTGGTGGTTCCCTTGCCTTCACCGTGCCTGGTAACCGTCGCCACCAGTCACAGTCACTGGGCGTAATTTCACAGTAGGGCGAAAGTGTTGGCAGTATTATGTATTATTAAGTTTAAGTTAACTGTTATTGTATTATAAAGGTTTCAGACAGGGGGGGGTGAAAATCCTGGTGTTATAAGATGAAAATAAGGTGGAGTAGAAGGTGGCAGCGGTCACCTTACGTTGTTATACATACATGCATATAAGTGCGTTCGTAGAGCTGTGTATAGGTCGAACTTTATTTAGCAATCCTTTTCTTGTGAAGATCTCTGTATCTCGTAAGATCTCGGAAGTCTGGCTACCGTCTTGAGTGCAGACTCAAAGACAGCGCAGACACTGTCGCAACGCACTCTTCTGTGCATTATATGGCTGTGGCGATCATATAATTGTTGTAGTTGTGACATTGTGGTGGGGCAGGGGCAGGGGGTAGAGGGCATGTGTACTGGGCGGGCTCGTAGGGCCGCCCACACCACGCCCTCACTATACCCACACTGCACCTCCATCACCCTCCAGAGCTTGGTCAGAGACCACATGGGTCAGCAACCACGAGTACTAAAAAGTTTCAAAACTCTGAAAAACGTTAATTGAAAGTTAACATTTTCTAAGCTGGCCGAGTAAGCCGGACGACTCAAACAGAAAACGGAACAGTACGTCACTTTTGTGAGTCAATTTCATTTCAAATTACGTCCAAATTTGGCCCTAGCGCGCATACTAGCCAAAAGTGACGTTATTTTTAAGAGGACGGGTTGAGGTACTAGTGTAGCCGTGTACCAGCGTACACACTGGGATAGCAGTCCCCCTCCCTCGGCTGCGAGAGGGAACTGTTTTGTTGCGAAGTTTCTTCATCCAAATGTTTTAGCCCCACACACCACTCACGCAGTTGGCTCAGTCATGATCATCCTAGAATAAATTAGCTTGGACTTTTTGAGATATATACAAGAGTTGTTACATTCGTGTAGAGCCACTAGTACGCGTAGCGTTTCGGGCAGGTCCCTGGAATACGATCTCCGCCGCGAAGAATCGTTGTTACAACCAAGTACACATTTTACTGTTGCGTTAAACACAGGCTACAGTTAAGGATTTGCGTCCCAGTAAATCCTCCCCGGCCAGGATACGAACCCATGACAAAGCGCTCGCGGAACGCCAGGCGAGTGTCTTACCACGGAGACTGTAAACTTTGCCCATGACACTGGTGTGATGATGCTGTTCCCTTTGCCCTGTATGTCTGATTATTTAACTTGAGGCCAAATAGAGATGCTACTAAGTTGCAACATGTGAGGCCTTGTGCTATATATAATTTGTACCCCGTCACGCCTTGAGCATTCTGTATATGAAGAAAGCATAAACTGCTTAATATAGTAACATTGTATATCATTTGTGGAGGTGAAGTATACCTCACATATATATGTCTAGGCTTAGTAATGTCATTGAAACATTTTATGATACTTTTACATCTGTTTATAGGCTATACGTTTATATAATTCTGGGTCTAAAATGTTTCTATTAGGATGAAACAAGTTACATATTTATGGTCAACTAAAATGGAACACGTCAGTAGTGTGTGTATGCACAGCACGGTAAGATAATAGTGCTTAACTAAAAGAATAGTTTAGAATATAATTTCTGATTTGGTGCTTTCTTTGCAGGATGGCGAGTGCATACCCAGGCGGGCTGGGCAGTGCCAAGGAGCGGCTGGATGGGCTGGGACCGGCCGGGCTGGGCGGGCTGGGTGGAGGCGGGCTGGGCGGGCTGGGCTTGGCGGTTTCCATCGCTGGCGGCTTGTCCATTGGAGATGGTTTGCACATGGGCAACAACAACGGAGGAGTAATATGTCCATTATGTCTTGGGGGCTTGGAGGAGGCACGTGTACTGCCGTGCCTTCACGCTGTCTGTGGCCCCTGCTTGGACTCCCTGCTGGTGGGGACCACCTTAGCCTGCCCCACTTGTCACGCTGAACTCAACCTCGACCAACCGCTTGATGCACTGAATCCGCCACTCTTCCTCCCTTCAATTCTTGACATGGTGTCTGCTGACGATGAGATTACAAATCCTCCGCCTCCCACCAATATGGTCAGTCCCTCGGCACCCCACGTCAACAACCGGGAACAGTTGCCTCCATTACCACATCTTCACAAAGAAATGGCTGGTAATGGTCGGAATCCTGTGTATCTGTGCGCTAGCTGTGATGATGGGCGGGGGGCCACGTCTCGCTGTCGGGACTGTAATGATGCCCTCTGTGACTCCTGTGTCCGGGCGCATCAGCGTGTTCGTCTCACTAAAGATCACTTCATTGTCCGCTTACCAAATGAAGATGGCAATAACGGTATTGGTAACAATGGTAACAGTAACGGAGGTGTAATTCGCTCTCATTTTTCTGAAGAGAACTGTCATTCGCCTCTCATTCTGGCGTCTCCTCCACCAGCCATCTCTTCACATTCTTATGTTGTTTATTGCACCATACATGATGGCGAGGCGATCCGGCTCTACTGCGAAACTTGCAATGCTGCTATCTGCAGAGAGTGTACGCTGCGTGATCATCGTGGGCACTCGTTCGCATATTTGCAGGATGCTGCCGAGAGCTCTCGAACTGTTACGGTCAAGCTGCTTACTGATGCCAGGACTGGAATTCGTGCTATTGAGGATAGCATTGGTGTGACGAAACGGATGGTGGATCGTGTAGACCTTCGCGCTCAAGCTGTGGCCAGTGATGTTCGAACAACGACGCGCCGCCATATAACAGCATTGGAAGATCGTGAACGTAAGTTGTTACACAAAGTGGAAAGAATTCGTCAAGTTAAAGGCAAAACTCTTCAGGACCAAATTGATGACCTGAGTAGTGCCCTTGCAAGGCTTACACATACTGTTGACACGCTGGGCTCGTCTGTGGACTCTACCAACCACTTAGAGCTCCTTCAAACACGAGACAAAGTTTTAGCAGAGATGAATGAACTAACCTTAATCAAACGTCATCTTAGCCCTCATGAAGATGATAATATTGTGTTCACTCCTCCTGATAATTCTCTTTACCAAGCAATCAGTACAATGGGCTTTATATCTTCTTCAGGCTATGCCCCAAATTCGCTTGCTGTAGGAAATGGATTGAAAAATGCATTAAGAGGTAAAATAGCCACTTTTCTGGTGCACGGTAAAGATCATCTTTCAGACCAGAGACATGTTGGTGGCGACCTCGTCACAGTGACTGTTCATGGTCCAGATGGCATGGCTTCAAAGGCCGATGTTCAAGATCGTGGCAATGGATCATACTTAGTTAGCTACCGACCCCAGGTTGAAGGGCAGCATGTGATTGCTGTACTTATGCGTGGAATGCACATACAGGGATCCCCATACACCGTACAAGTCAAAACAGGGCGAAGTTACTCCTCAGTGGGACCTGTACTATTAACTATAGGTGGTGAAGGAGAAGGGGATGGTCAGTTGTGTCGTCCATGGGGGGTGTGCTCTGATAAAGATGGTTTTATCATCATAGCTGACCGTAGTAATAACCGCGTGCAGGTATTCAGTCCGGATGGCACCTTCCACCATTGTTTCGGAACGGCTGGATCACGGCCAGGGCAGTTTGACCGGCCTGCGGGTGTGGCTACAGATAATATGGGCAGGATTATTGTAGCCGATAAGGACAACCATCGCATCCAAGTCTTTACATTTGATGGGAATTTTTTATTCAAGTTTGGTGAGAAGGGAAGTAAAAATGGACAATTTAATTATCCTTGGGATGTTGCAACTAATCCAGAAGGCCATATTGTGGTTTCCGATACTCGAAATCACAGAATTCAACTCTTCAGACATGATGGCACTTTCTTGAATAAGTACGGATTTGAGGGTGCACTCTGGAAGCACTTCGACTCGCCACGGGGCGTTTGTTTCAATCTTGAAGGTCACATTGTTGTCACAGACTTTAATAATCATCGCCTGCTTGTGATTCACCCCGATTTTCAGTCTGCCAGGTTTCTTGGAAATGAAGGTACAGGGACTGGGCAGTTTCTGAGACCACAGGGTGTTGCGGTTGATCAAGAGGGACACATAATTGTGGCAGATTCTAGAAATCACCGAATTCAAATATTCCACCAGAATGGCAGTTTCATGTGCAAGTTTGGAATGCCTGGATCTGCACCTGGCCAACTTGACCGTCCCAGTGGCATCTGTGTGTCTCCGGATGGCTACATAATTGTAGTGGACTTTGGCAACAACCGGGTCCAGGTGTTCTAAGGGATCCCAGATTGGTATACTCGCAGATGTTCTATATTTGTTATGCTCCAGTCTGTGAGCTTAAGCGAGGAATGTTCATATCTCGCCATAAGTGTCTTGCATACCGGGTACAAAGTACAAAGTGATGAAACATCGTACAAATTTTACAGGTATGTGGGTGTCTTGACCCGCCACGATAGTTCACTTGTTATTGGAGAATGATACAGGGTATACTTTAATTGTCAGAGGCTTCAGACTTGTAAATATGCATTCACATTTTTATTTTGCGAGCCCAGAAGGGCAGTGGCCTCGAGTTACGGGGGTTGGATGGACGGGTGAAAGATTGAATTCTCTAGCCATGTAAAAGAATGAATGACTGGATAAATGGATTTAAAATGTGGTGCTCTCAATAATTACCTCTGTTCCTTGCCACAATACTTCTTGTGGTCTTAGACTAATATATACTGTATCTCAAGATGGTTACTCAGGGATCATGTTTTTTGTTTGGCTTTTGTGCCATTCCACACACACGTTCAACATGTTATCATCATATATGTGTGTGTGCACACATGCAGGACTACAATAAAAATGCAGTATGTCTGCATATATTTTTGTAGGACTTTCAGGGTCTGACGAGCATTAGGTCAAGGTTCTGCTGGCTGATGTTTGGTGCCCAATATTGAATATTTTAATCTCATTGTAAAAATAACTTTATAAATATTATTGCAGACAAGCAATTTAATGTATTTTTAGCATGTAAAATATATTTTTAGGACTTGACAAGCAAAATGCCAAAGTTTGACAGATTTCATAGAAATTTGAAATTGCCATAAACATTGTGTACTACACAAAATATGTAATATTATTATATAGAAATCTTTACCAACAGTGTTACAGGCATCATGTGCACGCCAAGCAGGCAACCTTGACCTGGCCATTGACCTCTCAGGAATTGAGCATGACCCGATTACCACTCCTCAGTACTACCTCACTCTTAGAGTTAAGACACAGGTATTCTAAGCTTGTCATGTTAATAGCATATATACCAGATTTTAAGCACGCATGTTGGTGCTGCTTAAGCATGTTTTGGAGATGAAAATCTAATAGGCTGGTTGGAGTACGCCTAGCGTTAGTGGTAAGTTTCCTTACAAAAAACGGGTGTAGTATTTTACGAGAATAATTAAGTTTTATGTATTCAATCTAGATTGTCACTTTGTGACTTTAATTCAATTATAGTGTGCTGGCTCTCTCTCTTTTTTGCAAGCAAAGGTCAAGTTGATTGAACTTCATTGTGACAGAAGTTTAGCAAATTGAATGGTGCGCAAAAGCCCAAGGTCCCAGTGCTAGTGCAGCCAGTGGGTCCAAAACTGTGGCATTTGTATGGGCAAAAGACTAAATGAAACGGCACAGAATGGTAGGTTCTTTATGGGGTTATCCTTATGCTATTGACAAGGCCCGATGGCCAAACCTTGTCAGTCATGGTTTCTGCAGCTCATAGGCTAAGCTTTCTTCATAGTTGCTGGTGATAATGTGCATCTAACACTACCTCGACTAACTACTATCTGGTATTTTTCTGGTAGTGTAGATTATTGGCTTGATGAAGCGAATCACTCAATGAAGAAAATGTGCTTTCAGGAATCTTGCTTCGAAAGCAATTGTGTATTATTACAATATATACATTAAATGCAATGACTACATTACACTTGAAATATATATTTTTTTCTTTTATGGGGTCAAAATTACAGGTGGCTAATTTAAACTTTTCTGGTTTTGAACCTAAATGGTACAGTACTGTAAATCTTTGCTTGGTCTTCCTCTGGTAGCTTCTGGTAAATCAATGTAGTTCAAGATTGTAAATCATTACTTTTTCGGTTTGTTGACGCGCAGTAACGTACAACTATATTCTGTCGAAGATCTTGCCAAAATATTGAACATCTTTCCTCAGAAATTGTAGCCTTTTTGTGCTCGGATATTTAGGTTGTACTGGTATGTAAATCCTCCAAATTTGCCTACCAGTACAACCTGGTATGCAAATACCAGGTTGTCCTCCATTCCACAAGGTTTTGTGGAATGAAGATATAAATGCAGGTGTAATGCTATTCATCAGTATATTTTATGAGTTGCCATTTTATATAAAGGCTAATTATATTGGTGATCTAAAAGTATTAGTTATATTGCTTTTATATATTATGAAAATAAGGAAATCTGTTAGGTATTGTATATCCACTTTAGTTTTATTACTTGTTAATTCAGTTTAATTAATGGGCAATGTTTTTGTTTGATATTATAGTCTTAATGAAATTAAAACATGTTCAAAACATCTCGGAGACTTTGAGAAACTATATTAATCATTTTTAAAACGACGTACTGTACAATAATAGAAAGGAATACAGTAAGTATCTAAAGAATATATAATTTTAACAATCTAAATTTTAAGAAAATAAACAAATGCTTAACTTGATAAAGTGTTTAATATAGAGGAATTTATCTGTTGATTCTCTGTTTAGAGATTTCAGTTTTGACAAGAGGTAGCTACTTGCCGCTGTCCAACCTTGACACTTATCTCGAGATGACTTCGGGGCTTAGCATTCCCGCAACCATTCCAACGTTTTCCCGTGTTTGAAGTCAACCTGCATTACATTAAATTTTCATCATTTTCTACCATAGAGGGTTCATCACTCACCCATTTGAATGAATAAAGAAAATATTTCTTTTAATGTATGTCAGTTTTTTCAATGGTTGGCAGGGGCAGGATGGTAAGTGAGGCAAGCTGGAGTTTGGGTTATAAGACAGTATCATTTAATGGGTATAATTTGTCTCGTTACAATTGATTATTTCTATTAGGACATGTTATTATTTATAATGGATTCTATAGTATACCTGAGATTACTTTGGAATTAGAAACTATAACAATATTTAGAGTAGTCTAGGTAATCAACACATGTTGATCTATGGCAGTTATAAATTTAGGTTGTCAGTTATTTAGTCCTTGTATCTTTAAAAGTGAAAAGCACCATTGTTCCTCTTGAGGAAAATTACTAGAATACACTACTGTACTTTAATGCATGAAGCTTGAGAGAGGAGGCAAAACTGCATTTAATCAGCTTATAAGTTTTGTGAATGGCGTGTTAAACAGTTGTTCATATACATTAGCACATTTGTGCGAAAAACTTATCCCAATCTATCCACCAACTCTACACTTTACAGCAGCATCATGTAGGCCTTTAAAAATTAACACATCTATAACATTATATATACACTAGATAGATGATCTAAACGCATAGACTTTTTCCTCCATATGACATGGCATATTCTACACATAGGATAAACATACCTTGATCTGTGTGTACATTGCAAGTTGGGTCTATTTCGAGCACAATTGTTTGTTCGTATTAATTGGACTTTACGCTAGCCAGTTTACATTTTAAACCATTCCCACGTTTCAGTGACTTGTCTAGCAATTGTGTAAACTTTTACCTTAAGAGTTATTCTGTTGACGGATACTTTACTCCAGCATTTATTTGTTTAAATCAAATTTAAATTGCACATGGCACTTGCTGCATAATTTATTGGCATACCTGTTGCACTGCTGTTGATAATTCCAAGGTAAATTTGTTGTGTATTTAATGGGCAATCTTTTTGCATTAAATAAAGAATGGTTTATTGACCGAATTGATTGTTCTTGCTTGGTAATTTTTTGGCTATAGATTTTTTTTTTATTAAGTACTACAATCATTTTTCACCATTTCAAGTATTGCTTGAAACCTTCCTGGTGTTCAGAGACTAATGATAAGTGGCAAAATTGTTAAAGGCCAGCATGAAGTGGTAAAGAAAGGAAAGATAAATGTCAATAAAAACTTAACACTTGTGCTGTAACGTGGAAAATATGGTGACGCAGTCTAAACTAGGTCTTGCGTAGGAAGTTGCTGATCTGGGCTGTGATGACCATATGGGTCGATAGCTTGCAACAATGCTCTTATTGCAGTCCTTGCCTCAGGTTGGGCTGCAAGTAGAAGACTTGAAAGCATCCACAGGTTTGAGGTTTAAGCTTGTAAAAAAGTAAGCTAAGTGAAAATTTGCAATGCTGATGCGGGAAAATACAAATTCAATGCACATGGCATCGAGACCGAACTACTAGAAGACTAGTCATAAATGGTGCTTATGATTATTTATATCACACATTTTGCCAGAGTTCCTAGAATATGTTGACTTAAACCATATGTATGTTTGAGTGTTCCTATGCATCATTAGTAGCACAATTATCTTATTTTTATGTTCAGTGTACATCAAAGTTGTGACTGTCCATTCTTTCAATACCACAGCTTAAGACAAGTTTGAGAAACTTGGTTTACATATCGATGTTTTATTTATTGACAGATGGCTAGGTGAAAAGGTCTATTAGGTGTGCTTTGTATTTCCAATTTACTGAACAGTATAAAGTAGATCAGATCTCGAGACTATGGTGACTAATAATGAATCAATGATCAGTACAATATCTTCCTCATAATCAAAACTTCCATTTGGCTTTATTGGAAAAAAATTCATAATTAACCTAACACAGATTTACAAAGTAAAATTGACCAAGTTAGATTAAAAAAATTTTATAAAGAACATTGCAGAGCCTGAGCTTGGTTTTGGGCGATCAGTTTTTCAACATTTCTGCCTAAGGATATTCATCTTGTAATTTTGTTTTCTATATTTCATTCTTCTTTGTTGGTTTCACATTTATATCTAATAGTGTAGTTGGCACTATTGCAAGTACCGGAATACACGTACTCGGTGACCAAGTATTGTAACAGAGAGCTACACTTTTAATGCAGGAAGAGGTAGAGTAGTTGTAGAGACACATTTATATGTTCCTTTTAAAATGTAGAGCAATATCACTAACTTGTAGTTCAATTCTATTTCAAAGAATTCTGCCTTCATAATCTTTTAAATGTAGAGAATACACGTACATTTGGTAGATATACATCCATGGAAAGGAAATAGAATATCAATTTTTAGTCATGTACTGTACTGAATTATTTACATTGTAATTTTACTCCAAAAAGATATTTTTATTAAATGTGACTGAGCATAGACCCAGAGTTACAGAAAGTACTTTATAACTAGTATTATATGAATGATCTCTGATCATAAGGCACCTCAATTTGGGTTTTGGGTCATTTAAATCGCTATTCCCTATAGTTCCTTTTGGGGATAAAATCCCTATGAATCATAAATAATTTTTTAGCTTAGTGTTGCTATGCAATACTAAGTAAATATTTATCAGGTTTAAAGAAATCTGATTTTTATATCCAGACTAATTCAATATACTGTAACTACAGCAGAGGTTGTAATCAATAAAATGGGTTTATCACTTTCCCCACTGAAGTTCTCATACTATTACTGTTTAGAATTGCTGGATATCTCGTAATGTCAGTAATGGTATGTAAATATTTTATCGTTAAAGTACAGTACTAGATAACGCTTAAGAAATGTGAAGATGTAGACCACAGATAAAAGCATTCAAAGCATGATGACAACTGTGCACGTCATTTGTTGTGTGCTGGAACAAATATGAAGTTAAAATGTAAGTTAATATGAGCACAATCATATTGTTGCCTTGTACTTATGTTGTCAGTGACCAGCATGTTGTTTTGAATGTGTTTAGCTTTGTTTTGTATTGTGGGTATATGGGGGTGTGCTCGCTCTTGTGCACTCTCAAATTAGTGCTTGAATCCCCAAACTAGTGATGTTGGAATCACTTGGTAGTTGACACACCTTCCATAACAGACAGCTGTTCATTGGCTTCAGGTTTAGGTGTAACCTTTATATATTCATCAATAAAACCAGATGTTGATATAATCAGCAGACATCCAATAGTTGGCCTTGGGAAGCATTACTTTGCCTTAAATATTTGCTTCAGTGTTACAGTATAAACAAACTAACAAACATTTATCCAGTCATCCGTAGTATTGAGATTGTTTCCTAAACGATAGGTTTATATTTTTCGACTTGTTGCTGATAATTTATTAAAAGGCATCTTAATTATCAGAAAGTAAACATTCAAAATACTGATTTTTACCTAATAAGTATTTCTTCTGTACAGTATCAGTGTTGTGCATGTTTTTTTCTGTTTCCAGTGGAAGTGTTATGATCATAACAGCTCTGAGGAAGTTTTGTTTCCTTACATAACGTGGTACAGGCTCCTTCCCAACACTGTTACTAGGTACTCTCAGTTCATGTAATGTATCACATCCAAATCTGCCTCTTGAGAACCACGATTACCATTCTGTGCTCGTTTCAACCAGCAAAAATAATTGTTGTGTGACAATTCTACAAAAAATAGGGTTTAATCTAAAGAGATGCATATTGATTGCTTTTAATGTTTTATATCTAGCATTTATGATAGTTTTTAACTTAAGCTATTTATTAAACTGAACTGTGGTTTATGGAAGATGTGAATGAGGAGGATTTTTAAGTGTGTGTGTGTGTTTGCTTAACATAGTCAAGAGTAGTTTAACATTATGCCATAGCTATGAAGTGTGATGCAATCAATAATTAGGTTTAGCTACTATTTTGTGATATTTCTGTTCCTTGTAAAATTATTATTATTGGATAGCATAGTTTTAAGTAATAATTTATTTACCACAGTTTTGTACTGGAGTGGAATGAGAGCTTTGGGTAAAGGATCAAACTTTGTGAATAATCAAAAGTGTGATGGATGTTATCCATGAATTTTATTGACTTATAATTTATATTATTTGCATTGTCTTGTTTGCTTGGCTATTGGTCAACCATACAAAACTGAGTGTAAGTACATATTGCATTTTTTAAGTGTTTAGAGACTTGCAGACCAGCATCAGTGTCTTTCCCTCTAGTAGTAGTTATGAGTTGCATCATGATTGCCAACTCCCTGGCATCTAAAATATCTAGGTTGAAAGATTTTGTTCAAAACATTGCATGCCTTATTATTTTATACGTGCAACGCTGCACCTTTTCAAGTAAAAAACAGAATAAACAATAACTGCACATGTACAGACTGCACACTTGCAGCCGCTACAACAAATGGCCGAAAAATATTGACAGATCTAATTGTGGCAAATGTATAGATACAACAGCTCTGTATCAATAATGGTGCAACTTACATTTAGATAATGATATATAAATCTTCCTAACAAGATTACCAACAAGTTGGTATTCGTTTACATTTGTGAACTTTTTATACAAACTGCCTGACAGCTGAGTGGACAGCACTTGGGATTCATGGTCCTGAGGTTCCGGGTTCGATTCCCGGTGGAGGCGGAGACAAATGGGCAAAATGTTTTTCACCCTGACGCTCCTGTTACCTAGCAGTAAATAGGTACCTGGGAGTTACAGTTGCTACGGGCTGCTTCCTGGGGGGATGTGACAAAAAGGAGGCCTGGTCAAGGACCAGGCCGCGGGGACGCTAAGCCCCAAAATCATTTAAGATAATCGAAAGATAACCCTACCAAATTTGTGGTTCATTTAACTTAAAATAGTGCATATATATATATATATATGTAATTCAGTTTGTAATGTGTGCCAGTTTGATATATGTAGTGCCTATTTACATGTTACCATATTTCAGTTGCACATTTGAGATCTCGGCTTAGATGTGTTGAATATAAAAAATGTCAATATTTGTGATAGACTACATAAGGGAGATGTATAAGAGGAGGGGGAGAATAGGATGATAATGACGTACAGTACTGCTTATTGCAAGACAATTTCATATTTTCAAGATAGATACGAGGCCCTAAGGTGCTCATTTAAAAGTAAAATGATACTCATTAGAAATTAAGAGTACAAGTACAGTTACTGGTACTCTTAATTTTCTTCAGTGTTTTCTTATCTGTATGTTTGTCCCATTTTAAAAGGCATATCCAGTCTCCCAGCTGCCGATATTGTACCTTTCAATATACTGTACCTAATTTTATAATCATGGAGGATAATGTGATGTTAAGAGGCCCAAGGGTGACAAATCGTGATACGAACTAAAAAAGATAAAATTTGTAATTACTTAAGCAACCTAGAGGTGTCTTATACCTATACTGCATATTAAAAGGGAAGGAATTTTTTGGTACTCAATATTTTTATAGTAATGAATAAAATAGTATTTTGCTGAGCATTTATCAAATAAAATTATGAAAATTTAAACAAGCAACATGCCTATATACTGGTTGTTCTGGGGATTGTGTGTTAAGGTGATCTCCCAAGCTCTTGTATGGGTTTATTTCTATTGCATTATTTTCTGAAGTCTTTAATATTGTGAATTTATATAGCAATGGTTACATGTGAGTGTTACTTATAGAACACAAAGTAAGCAATGGTTAATTAACTGCAAACTTGATTATTACTGTATTTGAAAGATCACAAACTTTTTAGAAATGTAATTTTAATAGGTGCTTATATTGGATGCATTATGTGCCTGTCAGCATGAATTGTCTAAATGCACACTTGTGCAAAACTCTAGACTTCACGAGTCTGTGCTTTGCTGTGGTGATCTGAATTGGCATATTTTGTATTTTAATTTGAATAAGATTTTCTATGATCAAATTAGCAGAGAAATGTGTTGAGAGAGATACCTGCCACGAGGACAAAAATACAGTAATGAAAAATTAAATGCCAATCTAATTGGCCGCACTGTGGCAGTCCCCGTACTTGAGGTTTTGTAAATGTAACGAGACATATTGTATGCATTTCAGTAAGTGGAATTCCAACAAATTTTGCAGTCAGGTTGTGCAGTTAAAGAAATTACAAGACTGTAAATGCTGTCATGATGAACCTGTATACAGTAACGTGCAGTAAATTCACAAGTTTGTTGTCAAATTGTAATGGCGTGATCATCTTCATGTATATTTTAATGCAATTATTTTTGGGGTATTTTATTGTTATTTTGTGGTGCAATTTTTAATAAATTTTCATAATAAATTTGCCATCAGTTTTCCTTGACATTTAATTTTGGCAATTGTGCAATTAAAGAAAAATAATGCAATAAAGCAAGAAAAAAAGTTTTTGTTTAATTCTCATCTTGATGGGGGTTTCTTGGCATGCAACTTTATTTTAATATATTCCAGATTATTTGGTAGCAGTTCAGTCTCAAATTTTTACAATGATACATAGTACTAGTATTTAGTAATTTACCTCTGGTACCCTTTAGTAGCCTCGACAGGGACGAGGCAAGTGGCTTAGTCATAAGCAGGGCACATGCTCATGTACCTACCTTGGGTAGGTTTAGAAATCTCCTGCCCCTTGGGATGGCATACGTACTAAACAAGTAATTATCAAAAGGCACCAAGTCGGGAAGAGTACGTAGCACCATCAGTGTCGCTGGATATTCAAAATTTCTAAATATTACAAAACCTGCTAATGCGAGAACAAACTGTAAATGAGGGCGAGCTATATCTATGGTATCAGATTCACCAAGGATTTTGTCCAGGGACATTGGAGTGCAAGACTTGATTGTCCCAAAAATCTCTTAACATGAGATGCCTGTAAAGTAGGAAAATGCAGTATGGACAATACTTTGGTAATGTTCCATTATATGTCCACAAGTTTAGTGTGAATGGCCAATATATAACTTAGCCCAAGCCAATTCCCAACATCTATTACAGTGGCAGGAGACAGGCCAGAGGGAGAGGTTACCTTTAAGAGTGCAAAGTTTGTTACCTCAGACCAACGACCCTGCTACAGGAAGGAATGAATGACTAGGTAGATATCTAAGTAAGGGCCAATTTCCAGAAAAAGCATTCAAGTGCTAATAGCCTCTAACCACAGTGTTTGTATGTTCATTTAAGGCAATGCCAATATGGCTGGGAACCCAGCAAAACTGGCCATTTGTCTTGAAATTCTACATTAGCAAATTTTGACAACCACAGTACCACTCCAGGGCCATGAGGGAACCGAGTCTACCATAATGGCAAAAGAATGCTGTTGGCACACACACACACACACACACACACACACACCTGTCTGTGAATAGGGCAACAAAAATGCAAGTGCAAAGAACACTGTTAGAAGGAAAAAGTTTCATAACAGAGGGGGAAATTATAAATCTTGACCATACGGGTCAAAATCCTCATTACTGCCTTGCAGAGACTGCAAGGCAGTAATGATCCTGACAATTCTGTAGTACAAGATCTGTTACAACACAAGCTCTGGGTAGGGTACAAGGCAAAAGCACCCAGAGCCGAGGCACAACCCATCATGGTGCAAAGCATCGGGACATCATAGGAGAGGGAGTGGAGTAGGCAGGGCAGTCATAATCCAGTTAAGACAGCATATGAGAGGAGTGTGGGTCTGTCAGCCCAAAGAAATACAGGGCAATACATTTAAGGTTCTCAGTCAACAGCCAAAAGGGTGTTACAGATCAACCCCAAAGAGTTTTTCATTAGATATACAAAAGAGGATTACCACAGTGACAACAGGAGATAAGAACAACATGCCTCCAAGTAAGTTATAGCACACGTCTTCGTTGTAGAGAACTTTTAAGCCATGATTGGTGGCCCAGGACAACATGTTACGAATTGTGAGTTGAAGGGAAGGGAAGTAGTCGCTGCAACAACAGTGTGTGAGATCATCAACTTACAGGGCTGAAAAAATGCCATGAAAAATGGAATGAAAAACATTTAGGGCAACCAGGGAAAAAAAAAAAGATGGAAATGCCATCAAATTGTTGAAAAGAGTGAGAAAGTAGTATAAACTCACACTTTAAATAAACAACAAAAGATGGAGCATTGAAGGAAAAGTGGGAGAGTGTTACAAAGGTCAAAAGAATCCAGTTGGTCTAAGCCATTTTCCAGGTCAGAAAGAACTGCAACAAAGGAGAAATTTGTAGTAAAGACAGTACAAGTGCATTAAAATTTTTGGTCTTCTTGAAACACTTGTTAAAGCCAAATTGAGAGAAGAGGTAGTGTTGCTCCAGGAACCACACCAGACTATAATCGGTAAACACGTCCCTTACAATATATGCAACATGACTAAAATGCTGTAATTTTGTTTGTGGAAATTGCTAAGCCAGTATGATGGATTACTTAAGTCTTTTGTATATAACTATCATTCACTTGACAACAATATTTTGTTGCTTACACAAAATTTTAAGTTTAGGAAAAAATTGCATTAAATAACATCTTGCCATTCCATCTTCCCATTTAATATAAAATAAGTACTTTACATTATTTCTGAATAATCAACGTAACATGATTTCCATTAGAGTACAGTATCTTCATGCATCAAAAATAAAAAGGTTCATTCACTAAACCTTTCCAAACAATCATCTCAACATTGCACAATGTATCGACAACTGATCAAAACTAATAAATTTGCCCCCAGGTGCCGTCTCCAACTGACTTAACATGTAGATACAGTACATGCAGAAATACTCTCTTAATAAATGGAAAAGCAGACATTCATCTCTCGACACATTAAACTGAGTGAACACATCTACATGCCCAAGGGTAATGTTGTGCTACAAAAGGGCCAGAACAACACATTAATACAAACCCACAAAATGTTTTGAAATTAAAGAAATTACAGAATGTTGAACAAATCACGTTAGTGTGATCTCTGTGTGTGATTACAGAATGTTATTCTGTTACTTTGGCCCCTAAATAACTTATACATGTTTAGTAAGGAATAAATATACCTGTCACAGTAGAGGTATTCTATAACCAGGATTAACTTTGTGCAGTGTCTTGACCCGACCAACATATTTTCACCCACACGCTTACAACAATTACTAAATTAATCTGTTTGGATTTCAATAAATTGGACCCTATAAAAATTAGTTTACCTGTAGACGAATTCAACAATTTCATTTCTCCCGGAGCCTGACCTAGTGGCCAGGCTCACCTGGTGATGGCCTTCTGCTGAGAAAACACATGTCCGCTCGAGGTCTTTTGTACATACAAAGTAAGTAATTATCAAAAGAAGGCACCAAACCGGGAAGGCTATGTAGCACCATCAAATACGCAAAATAATCAGAGGGCGCTAAATATCACCAAGGATGCCAATACGAGAACAAAAACGCAGAAGGCGAACGATATCAAAAGTATCCGAGTCACCAAGAATTCTATTTGTACATACAAAACAGAATACATAGTAAAGTATATCCCTGTATTTATGAAATCAATATAGTAAAAAAATGAAAAATAGAATGCAGACACTAATTCAGCAGGAAACTGGCAAATGACAAATGGAAAAATATAGCAGTAAATCATGTTTAGCCACAGTGTGGACTAAGATCAAAAAGTGGATGCAGTTCTCAGCTGCACCCAATCATTACAAAAAGATTTGAATAAATATAATATAATATTATATAGAATAATAATATAATATTATATGTATAACCTTGCATAATAAAGTGTACACTATAAAAAAAAGGGGGGTGGTAGGAGAAGCGAACACTCATACGTATTCAGAGTTAAATGGCAAGTTTTTCTCTGAATGCTCTGTGTTCCCTTCTTTGAGGCTGTGGGTCCCTATAATTGCACCAGAGGTGGTACTCCGCTATATAATATTTTATATATAATATTTTATATACAATATATTATATATATATATTATATACTTTTTTTTTTTTTTTGACGGGCATTAAGTTTGCTTCAAATCCAGTCACATCTGCTAAATTCAGGTCTAAAAGATACAACAATTAAATAAAATTGCCTTTGTTGTAAGTATAAGACCACATTACAACACCACCACCAGAGCAAGTCATTTTTAGTGTAAATTGCCTCTGTCTATGATTGGACTTCTGATATTAAAAGTCTCCAGTGCCAGTACAGTCCTAGTTTATAATCGTGTGCAAGATTGATCACAGATCGATATGCTAGGATAGTTGCACGTAGCCTATTTGGCTCTCTCAACACACTTAATTCAAGCCATTTCTTTTCTCTGTGAACTTGAGTCCTCAATTAGCATATGTTCCTCACAATATTGCACAAAGCTTAATACAATGCTAATAGACAACTTGTGTGGGTGGTATTGTTAAGGTCAATATTAATAGCTGTGGCTTTAGCTTTTGGTCAAAATTGGTTCATTACACTTGTGTCAACTTGACTGGAATATAACAACATTTTGGGCTCAAGGCCAAGCACCAGAACTCAGAAAGTAATAATGCTCAATAATCTGACCCCACAAGCTATTAAAATATGACTAAATTCACACCTATGTATGAACGTGTATATGCAAATAAGAGTATGAAATATCTAATATTGTTGCTCAGCGACTGGCTCTAACAGTATCTGTCATAAATGGCAATGATCCACACAGGATATACTTCCAATAATAGACAATCATGAGCATGTGTGACCTGCACTACACATACACACACATGAGCATGTGTGACTACACATACACACACACACACACACACGTACACACTGCTGTATTAGCTCCAATAAAAGAGGAAAGTTTTGATTGTCTTACACAATAAAGAGCATTTGTTTATTGTCAGGTTTCCAGCAAGTTCAAAATATATATTCAAACTTAGTTGAAAAAATAAATAGCTTATTCCTTTTTGCTCTTCTTCTTCTGCTGCTGCTGCTGTTGTTCCTCTCCAGATTCTCCAAATTCATTTATGCGACTCTTGTCAACTGGATACATCCTAAGATAAATTAAAGCATCTTAGACTTATCCTTCTCAAATTATTTTCTTCAATCCAGCCTATTTTTTTTATATAGTGACTAAATTATGCCCAAGGAATATTTTTGCAAAAAGTATTGACATGAATTATCTTCTTATTCATTGTTCTATTGTCGTAAATATTACATTATTAATAAAGGTAAAGACATGCAGGAATATTTAGCCACACCTATAATCCTTTTAGCGCCACATAATTCATTTCAAAAGCCTGGGATTCATCAGAGGTCTGGTCGATGACCGAGCCGCGGGGACGCTAAGCCCCGGAAACACTTCAATGTAACTTTAAGGTAACTTCCAGCCCGTCCTCCTAAGGTTTCCCAGCATCAAGAAACTGTCGCACTAAAGTGCCCTCTTCTAACCTACCAGAGGACCCAAAACAGAAACTGGAACATTATGTCAATTTCGTGAATTGCTACCATTTCCTAGTACGACAGTTTTTGGTCTTGGGTAAAGTATACGTCAAAATGCGACGCTCTATTAGTAGGACGGGTTGGGGATTCAAGGTGCTGTCAAATTGCTTCAATAAACACTCAAGATTGCAACTATGGAAATTACAGCACAGGTGGATGTATAAACTATTAGTCAACTAGCATTTACCGATGTTCCAAAACATTTAAATGATCTAAATACTGAAAGTCATGTTTTTAAGAGGATACTTATTCAGTAATGATATACCTAATTAATGCTCTCAATGATATGCTGTTTATAATCACAATAATGCACGTTGAGCTGCCTATTACCATATCCACCCATACAATTCATGCAACATTAGTCAGCTCTGCACCTGGCTGCAAAGATCCCCCATCAATACAAAAGTAATACGAAGCCTCGGATCCTTATCAGATACTGCCTATGAGTTTTAACTACAGTATTTATCATCATAGTTACTTACCATCTTTGGACAAGATAGATGACGAACACAATATCATCCCTGAAGCAAGCAACTCTGTGGGCTGTGGGCATTGTAATGATAAAAGCAAAGAGATCATCTATAAATGTGTTGAAAGCCTGGAAAAAAAAAAAGAAAAATGAATTAGCTGTATATTTTTCTGCATGTAATTATACAAAACACTTATACTAAATTCACCCATGAGTGTAATGCGTGTAATGCTTAATTGCATTACGGGTGAGGGCAATATAACTTTTAGCACATAATGACCTTTAATTGAATGATGATATTGTTTCAGTAAATGATACTAATACTGTATTATTAACGATCACACCGACTTATTTTATAAAAAGATTAAGACATAACGCTCAATAATTTATTTATCACTTCATCTCACGAGTACTGTCGCACATTAACATAATTAACAGACCAACTCTAAGACTTACAAGGCACCCTGAGCACTGCAGGATCACAACCGGGTGCTCCAGGGGCCCAATCACACTACCATTCAAATCAGCAGAATTTCTTAAGATGCTTATAAAAAGCTCAATTTTTTCTTTAATTACAACAAATTTATTTTGCATTTCCACATACTGTACTGAACAATAAATATAAATTTACATTGTAGGGGGGGGGGGGGCAAGGGAGGTTCTTCGTAGAAAAAAATGCAATAATAATACAATTATGTATTATTATTGGGGGGGGGGGGGGGGGGAGTGATAGAATTTTGACCGGCATGGGTATTATGCCAGTCCCCTACTTCTCAATTTCTAGGTTTATTTTTGTGTTGAATTTCTGTACTAGTGGCCTTTGTCAAGTTTCTATGAAGTATAATTACTTGTTTATTATACTAATTGAGGGACCCCCATCGTGATGGGCAAGCATAAATCCTGGATATACCTTTAGTGTATACCTTGTTCCCAGCAGCAGGGTATACCTTGTTCCCAGCAGCAGGGTATACCTTGTTCCCAGCAGCAGGGTATACCTTGTTCCCAGCAGCAGGTTATACCTTGTTCCCAAAACCCATTTCCATCACTTGTGAGGACACTATCAGCAAATGTCGCACCCTGGGGGATGGGGAGGGGGTGGAGCAGCACAGCTGGGAGCAGAAAAGTAATGTTAAAAATATTTGTTTGTTACATCTTAGACAACGAGGGGGTCCTGTACTTACTTTGTACATGAAGGCTTTCCACGGGAGATGTGCAACACTCTTCAGCTTGTAGTTGATAAACAATTGTGGAAGCATAAACAGGAACCCAAAAGCATAGACACCATTCACTAGACAGTTGATCACCCACGAATACCAACTGCAATGTAATAACAAAGCAGGTTGTCATTCACAGGCAGCATACAACAAAATCTCCATCCCCCGCCTGTTCAGTTACACAACCTGTTAAGTCTAATATTTCTATTATACTTCATCGACTCATGGTAAAGTACAATGGCCTGGCATGCCAGCAGTTCAGTGCACTTGGCTAACAACCGAATGGTCTCTAATTTGATTCCTGGGCATATTTCTTTACACCCATGCTTACATTCATCATGGGGTTAAACAGGCACCTAAGGGTTAGGCAACTGTTGTTCGTTGCATCCTTGATACATTAGTTATTGGCCAAAGACAGCTCGATATACCCAACAAGCTTCCTGTTGCCGACAATACAAACTCGTAAGAGTGTAATGAGCCGTGTACAAGGCTGGGAGAGGTAGAGGATGCTAGTGCTGATCAATCATTGTCTACACCTCCCAGCACTCCTCTTTTATTTGTACTTTTGGCTTCTTCATTTAGACGAAAAAAAAGTACTGTACAATTATATGTGAACCTTTCAAAATACCAATATGCTAAGAAGGACTACACTATTAGAACAAAATATGATACAGGCAAAAACAAAACAAGTATCAAATTCAATACATGAAAACACTTACCTCTTATGTGGAGTATACATAAGCGAGTACACCGCACCACCAATTAATAATGGATACAACAAATAGCTGAGGTACTTGATTCCCTGAGAGTCAAGAGCCTGAGTGACACTCTCGGCCGACGTCCTTGAACGGTGGAATCGTGGACGCCAACCTTCAAACTTGATATGGAATGCTTTCGTTACCTTCCAAAGCTGTGGAGAAGTCAAAGTACAGTACTGTAATTTACTCTTTATCTTTATTATTGATAACAAAATAACTGATGGAAAATGTTAAAAAATCAGTGTTGAATGTAATGAAACGCCATTTTCTGGGTGAGTACCGGAGGCTCCCTAGAGCTTACTAGGCTGATATGCTAATGTCAGACTTTGGCATCAGTCATGTGTATGGAGTTCTTATGGGCCTACCGGGGACCACGAGCCAGAACCTGGCCCCCTCTAGAGAGGCAAGGGGAGCAACAGCCTATAGAAACCCCCGTGTAATTGGAAGTATTCTGTCTGCCATCGACTGGAAGCCATAGGGGCTCCCCCCAGAAAACATTCATTCACACAAAAATATAAGAGAGTAACCAAGTTAATCTAGTAGGCAATGAGTCACAATAACATGGCTGAAGTACGTTGACCAGACCACACACTAGAAAGTGAAGGGACGACGACCATTTGACTATCTTTTGTTGGTTCTGGGTATTAATGTCCCCACAGCCCTGTCTCTGACCTGGCCTCTTAGTTGGTGACCAAGTCAACCAGGCTGTTAGATGCCGCTGCTCATATTCTGCACTTTATCAGGTATAGTTTGAAAGCATTTATCAAGCACTCTGTTAAATGCAATAAGAGCTCAGGATATTTCAATATTTTGAAAGCCTAAATTATTATGTCACTCACCTGCATTCTTGAAAACACAATGAGAAATTGTAAACATTGCCAATAATTTAGATGGTTTATTGGATGGATTTGGACAGGTCAGCAATTTCTCCGGTCACCAATTTCTTCAGCTTTGAATGGGGGTTGTTATGGTGCAATAATATCTCACCCCAGAGAGCACTAGTGTCTTCAAAAGTATCATCGGTTTGGCATCTCTTGTTTGAAAGGTTACTGATATCCAACCTTTCATTTTTCTTGCAGTTTTGACAGGTACTTTATTGTTTTCTTTAAATGTAAGGTCTTTCAATATGATTACTCCCAAATCTTTTGTTACTTTTTCTTTCTAGTGCCATTTGACTGCATTTCACATGAGGTTCCTGTCTGACATGTTTTCCCTTACTGCAACTCATCTTCGTTGAACATGGACTTCGTTGAACGTTGAACATGAACTCCGTTGAACAAGGAGCCGGTCGGCCAAGCGGACAGCACGCTGGACTTGTGATCCTGTGGTCCCAGGTTCGATCCCGGGCGCCGGCGAGAAACAATGGGCAGAGTTTCTTTCACCCTATGCCCCTGTTACCTAGCAGTAAAATAGGTACCTGGGTGTTAGTCAGCTGTCACGGGCTGCTTCCTGGGGGTGGAGGCCTGGTCGAGGGCCGGGCCGCGGGGACACTAAAAGCCCCGAAATCATCTCAAGATAACCTCAAGATAACATCATTGGCCCACTGGAAGACCCAACCCACATCAGTTTGGAGGTCCACCGTATCGTTCATATTGTCAACTCTCACAAAAATCCTTGCATCATCTACAAAGAATGATACAGTACTATAGATCTGTCCAAGTATTTAATGAGAACGAGGAACAGCACTGGGGCAAGCGCAGCACCCCGGTGGACTGAGCTTGTCATGGTGGACCGCGAAGACCTCGCCATCAACCACCACTCTTTGGGTCCGGTTCATTAGGAAATTGAAGAGCCATTTCCCCATCCTGCCAGCAATTTACTTTTTCAATAGAAGCATGTAAAATCTGCCACATTGCTGGGCCCTATAGTCTAGAAAACTTGCAATGTTTTCCCTTTTGTTTGCAACAGAGCAAATAAATTGTGAATGGTTTTATTTTGTAATTACATCATAATTTGTGTAGCACATTTAAAATTATACCGATTGCAGCTTTTCTGTACAACCAAGTCTGTTTACAGTCTCTAATTTTTATGATATATATATGAACACACATTTATTAAGGTATTATATTCTTTACAGATTAGTTGCATAACCCACACAAACAATGAAGTTTTATATCATCAAAACTATCATGCAGCTGATTAATAGAAAGAAAAGGACCAAGAAGTCACAATCAACCAGTCATTAAAAGTTGCATAACAAATAAAAGCTACAGCAAAAAAAAAAAAAAGCAATAGTCAAACAAACCTTTGACTTCAAAGTAAAGGTGATTATTCAATTATAGAGATCCCTGGTACGCCCTCCCATCTGGATTACTGTATCCAAGGATGCAGACCACCTCTTCAGGAGATATCTTCCTTGGCAAAAGTACAACATAGAGTTACAAACATTATCTCATAACCGAGTCGACTCTCATAGCAGGGAAAGCCGAGGGGCAAGAGAACCATCACTGCAAACTAGACACGACAGGAACCAGACATGACAGGACAGATCTCATACAAACTCTTAAAATACTGAGCAAAATGGAGGATATTAATCCGGACCGTGTCTCTAAGAGGTCACGTGTAACACATATATATGTGGGGCAGCAGCTTGAAGCTCAACAGGTTACAATGTAGGGCAGGAAACCTGGGATGCTTTTTCATCCATTGAAATATAAACCCGTGGAACGGCATACCCACTGATGCTGTAAATACCAAGGTATTACTACAGTTCAAAATCCAGGTGGAAAAAATTATCAGGAAAATTAGGGGAAAATAGGAGGACCGCTCAGAGCCGGTCGGCCGAGCAGAGAGCACGCTGGACTTGTGATCCTGTGGTCCCGGGTTCGATCCCGGGCGCTGGCGAGAAACAATGGGCAGAGTTTCTTTCACCCTATGCCTCTGTTACCTAACAGTAAAATAGGTACCTGGGTGTTAGTAAGCTGTCACGGGCTGCTTCCTGGGGGTGGAGGCCTGGTCGAGGACCGGGCCGCGGAGACACTAAAGCCCCGAAATCATCTCAAGATAACCTTTGACAAGCTGCCAACTTCCTGTCCCCATTGTGGTCACTTAATTCTTGGGTGGCTTTTGGGTAAATTCAACTAAATACTGTATACTGTAATCAAAATATTAATAGAAATTATATAATTCCTTGGCCTGTTTTTTTTTAATTTTTAAGTGAAAAAATGAATAATCCATCTAAATACTGTAGCTTTCTTTCCACTTTCATAAGCTTAAGTCCAGTGTCACTACACCACCTCAGGTGTAAAAACATGGTCAACGTGGAGTACTGTACTTGTGGAGTACAACACACACCAGTTGAAATTACACAAAATTAAAATGAGATTTTTGGCTTATACAGCAATAGTTTCCACTTACCTCAATGATACCACCAATTCCAGCAGGTATCAAGACCAATAAACTTGTGCTCTCATCCATGAGATACAGAAAGATGATTATCTGGGACACGGCACGCCATGCCACAGTAGATGTCGAGATCCCGGCCATAGTTTTACGTCTTTGCCAGAAGGATATATCATTTTTGAAGGCTAAAAAGTCAAACAACAGCTGGAAGATTAAAAAAATATATTATATACAGTATTAAATGTACCCTGTACATGGATTTATTGGCATATACATATCAAACTAAATCTGTAGTTCCTATTGCTCTTCTGGCTACTGTAAAGTACTCTTAATGTCTAGATTCTTTTGCCCTTCAACCAGAAAATGAGCCATTTTTACATATTTTGGTATAAGTGATGCATTATTGCAAATCCACTAAAAGAGATCATAGATAATTAAGTAAAATTTGTAAATCTTTCCTTAATTTTAAATGTTTGAAATGCTTTATGGAGCTTATCAGGTGACCAAACAAGTAATAGTAGTAGTTCAAAGGGGAAAAAAAACAAGATAGATCAATAGACTGCAAAACACAATGACAAGTTGATGATGAAAATGGAAGCACATAACTAGAGAATACTGTAACATGATGGCTTACATGTAACGCTGCAACGAGGAAGGTTATAAAAAGGAAGTAGAGGTTGGTATCGGAGAAAATACCCTTCACTTCATCCAAGTCTTTGACAGTGAAGCCTAAGTGAGCCATTGGGGTAAGAGCTCCCTCAAACTGCATCCATAGTCTGAAAAGTACACACATATTGCAAGGAAAAAAGGAACTATACGAAGCACCAAGCCATTACGACTATATTGCACTGAGAAGGGATCAGGATTAGGCTAAAAGGATTTGGGATATGATGGGGGGAAGGAATGGTGCCCAACCACTTGGACGGTCGGGGGATTGAACGCCGACCTGCATGAAGAGAGACCGTCGTTCTAACGTCCAGCCCAAGTGGTTGGGCATACATATTGCAAAAATACAGTGTCTGCAATATTTAACAACCATCAATTTTAGACATCTCTCAAAGATGTAAAAGTCTAACTTTTAATAAAAATCATAAGAAATACAATGAAAATACAAGTAACTGGAAAATAATCAATAAAATAAAAAACTTTAATTATTTATCTTTTGGCTTAAGTGACATTTGTTAATGCAATTTTGTCATCCTAAAACAACAATTATTTTTGCTTAACTATGCTTAAAAATTTACCAAATTTCTTATGATGAGACCATTTGCATTGAATGCTGTACTCAGTACTGCATTAACATTCCCACCCAACAAAATCAATAATATATAATCATTTTACCTCAGTTTGCCATATGAAATGGGTGCATATCTAAGGGTTAGGTTTGCTTCCTTGGAGGACGGCTTTATTTCAACAAGATCACGAAGGCGAGCACTCAGGCGGTCAACGTGGAGTACTGGCAGGTAGTTACCACTGGGATGTAACCTATAATGAAAGAGGAGTTACATCACAAAACATATCTAATCTTTACAAACCGGTTGAGACTATTCCTTGAATTGCAACTACTGTATCTTCTCCCCAGGCAAACACTGGATTTATACCATATGAACTACATTTAATTTTCAGAGTTAGATCAGGTCAAATACTCTATTTCCTAAAAATATTCACAAGCACAGTATTTTTTAAGCTTAAATTCAATCATGGGATTAATTTCAGTACAGCTGTTACCCTCATTATTGAAATGTTATCACTCTATTGGCTTTCAAGTTAAAACTAAGATCTCCATTTACAAAATGTCTCTGTCAATGATTTGCTGTGTCTACTCCACTGATATTGTCATAGGGAACAATCCAATATAAAAATTTATTCTAAATCCGTTATTTACTAGTCAACAGCTTCTTATTAGTCTCTTATTCAAATTTCTCACGCTCATAACTAATTTACATTCTTGCATCTTCCTTCCCTCTTTCTCACTTGTATGTAATTTCGAAGAGCAGTCCTCAGTCTGTCTATACATTCATGCTTCCTAGACCAAGTGAGGTGCAACTGGAAACATTTCTGCTGTGGCCACGTCCTGATGGCCAAGATCCAGGGAGGTGGCAAGGCATCAGTATTATAGCACTGCGCAACTGCTTCACATTTACAATACCACACCTAAATCAATATGCAGTATTTTCTGACAATCAATAACTATGCAAACTTACGAAATAAAATGAAAAACCAACAAAGCTTTATTACTTTGTAGCTTCCGTTAAAACAATTACGCTAACCTAAGAACTTCAACTTTGCTTCAAATTAATTATTATTTCATTTTGGTCATTGACTAACTACCTCAGTGAATGCCCAATATCATAGGGCATATCTTTGCGTGGAAGACGGACGGGGTCAGTAAGAATATTGAACACAACTAGAGACTGGAAGTGTGTAACTGGTTTCCATCCTTGAGAAGATGGTTTTCCCGTCTGAAAAAATAAATACAGTAAATATTTTGGTTTTTAATTCCGACACCATAATTTTATTAAAGGAAAAATATATGCCATGAAAATGATAAATATGAATTAATAGTAGCAAATACTGCACACTAAGAATGGAGAGCTAGCCGTATAATAAAGTAAGGATAAGGCACTAGTAATTATCAAGGAAAAGCACCGAGCCAGTATGACTATGCATGTAGAACTTAGATAGAATATTAAGACCATTGAGGATTAAGTGTCAACTTGTAAGTAGCAAGGTTTTTGTTGTGCTGACCAGTCTAAGTTATTTAAGTACCTCCATTATTTTAAAGATTCAGGGAAATGACATTTTAAAAATATTGCAAAGCTTAAAATCCAGCCCATCCTCCTGTTTTGGTAGTACAGTACTTATAGTAATGATGAGGACCATAGTACATATACTGACGTACAACGAAATTAGAAAGGAGAAATCGTCACTACCGAGTTGGACAAACCGAAACTAATTTCCACTTATGTCGCAAAGCCAAACTAAACTAACCTAACCTAACCTTCCTAGGCTTAATACACGATATCTGAGGCCTAAAATAGTACATGTGTGCGCTATACTAGGTCTAGAAATATTTACGTATGTTTCTTGGCTTCGTTTTTTCTGACTCTATAGAGTGAATACTGTAGCACAAAGTTCTCCTATCTAATTGCTTAGACTGGAAATCCTTGTACTATGGTGCACACAAATACAAAAACTACTATCTAAACAGGAGAATGGAGAATTCCAGAGCACTCTGGAATGACTTTCCAGAGTGCTCCTGTAAAATCTGTTACAGGAGCCCTCTGGAAAAAGATTAAAAAGACAGCAAATTAAACATCATTTTGAATATGGTTCATTATTAAAAAGTAATAGAAAGGAAAAAGATAAATTTTTGTACGGAAAATGTATTTTCATATAACCTGTTAAGACACTGCACCAACCTCATCTTTTTCCTTGCCCAGTAAGTTGAAAGCTGTGGCGTCAGGAATGTGGTATTGTGTTAAATGAGCTAATCCATACACAGAATTCTCATCGTTTACCACACTTCCCCATTCCTAAAGGCAAAAAGAATGCTGGGTAATAAGGACCGAATAAATAATGCTAATTATTCAAAATTTCAATTTAATAGACTTCTCCCAATGTGGGGTTTAAACTCTACACTATTGTCAGCATTTGTGGCTTCATTCACTTGGTACAGTAATGCATGAACACAATAAAAAGTGACTCAGTGGCAGCTATAAAAGTGCTTAACAATATACTGTATCACTAAAACCAAAATTATTATGAGGAATGGAAAGACAACTGAACAATATACATCACAGTACTGTACTGAAATATTTCAATGTTCATACTAACCAAAAATATACCTGTAAGAGGGAAGCCTACACAAAATCAAACAAACCTGTTTATATACAAATGTTTATACTGTATATCCAATTATTCTAAAATATTACAGTACTGCATATGAAAGTAGTAACTTGGGAATAAAATTATGATTCTCACATGTGGATCAATTCCACGCGAAGTCAGGAAAATGTGGAGATACATTGAGCCATTGTTGCGAACCCATCTGGGAATCGGCACCACCACTGTTGTCTCCTGCTCCATTGTGTAGTCAAAGTCTTGCACATGGTGGATAAGGTGAAGGTCGCTAGCATACTCTGGCATTGTTTTCTGAGACGTAAATGCCAGTAACTGTTGGAAATAACAATAAAATGAGATGATATGCATATTTAAATATTGTTGCAATTTACAAGGATCTGTATGAATTAAGCAACTTATTTCCATTTTTATACCATGAGGGAAACTGGCCTGCCACAGAATATGAACAGGGTGTTTTAATTAGTACAAGGCAAGGATTTCAGGGGGGCCACGGTGGTGAGCCATGCCTGTACTGGCCGCCACGGTGGTGGGCCGTGCCTGTAGTGGCCGCCACGGTGGTGGGCCGTGCCTGTAGTGGCCGCCACGGTGGTGGGCCGTGCCTGTAGTGGCCGCCACGGTGGTGGGCCGTGCCTGTAGTGGCCGCCACGGTGGTGGGCCGTGCCTGTAGTGGCCGCCACGGTGGTGGGCCGTGCCTGTAGTGGCCGCCACGGTGGTGGGCCGTGCCTGTAGTGGCCGCCACGGTGGTGGGCCGTGCCTGTAGTGGCCGCCACGGTGGTGGGCCGTGCCTGTAATGGCCACATTGGTAGATCATGCCCGAAGTGGCCAAATTGGTAGACCATGCCCGAAGTGGCCATGATGACTAGTTGTGCTTTTTCTCCATTTTCTTTGAATTACTTGTAGTACAAACTAGAATGACTAACCTGCAGTTTAGGGTTCTTGGCAATGAGTGGAAGTATGCATTTTGAAGGGTCCGGGCAGTCTGGAGTGATGAAGAGCTGGCCTAGGGTCCATGCTGACTGTATGATGTAAGCCGCAAACAAACCACATATAATTGTTGTTAGGGAGGGAAATTGGTACCCACCTATCATCCTCAACTTCCCTGAAACAAAATTAAAGTCTTACAACTCTATACAACACAGTATATGTAGTACAAATACATAATTTATTTCATTGAAATTTCTATACTGAGCATTTCTGCTTGGAATTTTACCTTTCATTTATAAGGATTGCATATAAAACACCATACGGTATTAAGTCTGCAGTTTAACCAGTTTTCCTTCAAACTCAAAGATACTGAATTTACAGTATAGGCAATTTTAAGCCGATTGATTAATAATTTATCCAGTGCCACCAACACTGATTTTAAACGATTCTTCGCGGCAGGGGATCGTATTCCAGGGACCTGCCCGAAACGCTACGCGTACTAGTGGCTGTACAAGAATGTAACAACTCTTGTATATATCTCAAAAAAAAAAAAAAAAACATTTGATATAGTAATTAGCTCTGGATGACCTCAACTTGTGTAACTATGGGATATATAAACAATTCTCAGCTTCCACAACAGAAAGTCAAGCTGGAGAGCCACATAGATCATCCCCTAGAGGACAGAACACAGTCTGCCCCTTAAATCTTCTTATCAGAAGAGCTTCACTAGCTATATTCAAATGTCTTCCAGATCAAGTGAGCATTCAATCCCCAGAACAACCAGTCACTGCTTGACGGGGGTTCTAATGGCAAAGGGAAGGGAATTTTCAGGGGGAAAGCACCAAGCCATTACAACTACTGTATATAGCAGTACTGTAGTTGTAATGGATGGGATCAGGATAAGGATTTGGGATGGGATGTGGGAGAAGGAATGCAAAATGGGACAGAATCCAACAATATTTGAGGTAACTGCTTAAATTGAAATTGAATTCTTTATTTATAAATGTTTGTACATATATAGTTGAGTTAGTTTGCATAAATGAAAGTGTCTTCGTATGAAATGTTTAAGCAGTGATTCTAGCTGAAATAGTCATTATGAGAAGAAATTATTAGCCCACATGTATCAGTACTGCCCCTGTTATAGTCCTGAAATACATTAAAACTGCATGGTGGCCAGGCCCCACGAACCTTAAAACAACATTCATCACAAACTGAACAAATATCACTGGACCTAACACCACTTGGAAGGAAGTCTCCGTAGCACAGCTGAGTTCGTTCTAAGACACACAATTGGGAATCCCTGGGGTCAAATCCCAGGCGGGACAGAAATGCTTGGGTACGTTTCGTATCATCTCATAACCCTGTTCACCCAACAGTAAATAGGTATTCAGGATTTAGGCAGCTTCTTGTGGGGTTGCACGCTGGGAGAAACCTCTATATAAGCTTACCATATATAAGCACGGGATGCTCGTCTCCGACAAAATGAAACAAATAAGTTAAAACAAAATATACGATTCACAATTATTTATCCTCATTGTATAATTGCAATCGAGTTAGCCATTCCACTACGGATTTATACTGTTGCAATTCTCACTCTGCATTGTTTGCTTGGTGCTAGTATCAACTACTTCAGCACATTACTATTAAAATGAATTAAACAATTTCAGATGAATTAAAAATTTAAGAGGGCTGCTGCTCCACGTTTTCTCCTTTAAATCTCCCAGATACCTTGCACTTTCCCCACAATATTATGCTAAGTGCGATTTGGCCGCGTTATTCACCATGCGTAAAAGATCCAAAAGTTGACGAATAGATGGAGACTGAGGTAATTACCTGGGGGCGAGGAGGGTGGAGATGAGGAGGACCCGCTGTGGGTGACAAGTGACAGCCTTCACCGCCACACCGGCCGCTCACTAAACCCGCCTCACACTCCCGACACTTCTACCATATTCTTCATATTTATAACATATTACCTACATTATTTAAACTTTCTTTATCAATATACCTATATTTTATTATATGCCATTTAAACATTTGTGTAAATATCTGTAATTTCCTTATAATATTAAAATATTATCTAATATTCTAATGTTTTGAGATACGAAATTAAAGTCCGGTAATCAAAATGAGACACAATGATTTCAAGTTAGGATAATACGAGCAACTTAACCCGAACTTGGAACATTGGCTTTTTTTCATTATTGTCATTTTAAAAATATCATAAAGCAAAAATTGCAAATATAGTTTAATGTAATTGGATCATCTGAAGAACCCCTTCCCCCTAAAAGTCTCAACTTTGTCCAGCTAGACTGATACATAGATACGCAGCATATGTGAGGTTGCCCTAACCCACATTAATAAACCACCTCCAGATACAAGGCATATAAGCTTTAGGCTAGCATAATGAAACTTCTATAAGCAACTTTATTGCTGCTGCTGCTAATATCAACTGGGAGGCTGAATTAGGTAACATAGTGAACATCAACCTAGCAGTGCAAACATTTCTTAAGAAAACTCTGAGCCTTTATAACTCCCACTGTCCTATGCTAACGAAACAAGTCACAAATAAAAGGTTAAACACTTCATGGCTTACAAAGGGTATACTTAAATTTATTAATAAAAAAACATGACCTTGAGAAGACGTATAGGTTAGGAGTCGTCTCCAAAGAATTTTCAAAGATTTACTCATCAATGCTGTCTAAAATAATTAGAAGAGCCAAAATAAAATACTACGAAAATAAATTTACCCAAATTCAGGGCAACATTAAGAAAACATGGATCACTATCTTCCAAATATTAGAATAAAAAAGATTTTGAATAAAAAACCAACTCCTATCCAATGACGATGGTGTGCTTTCAGCCTCTGACACTGCTACTGAATTCAATAGGTTCTTCTCATCCATTGGTTCATCCCTTGCTCATGATATTCCATTCTCACTAACTAATATTATAGACTACCTCACAGGTAACTATCCAGAGTCTCTGTACCTAGCTCCCGCTAATTTGATGTTAAATGAGGTAATCCTTTCCCGTAATACTAAGTCAAGTGCCCTTGATGAGATACCATCTCTAATTTACAAAAAAGCCTCCAGATTTCTAGCTCCTGTCATTGCATTGCTTTTTAACAAATCACTTGAACTCCAAACCTTTCCGAATATTCTAAAAAAAAGCGAGAGTAACCCCAGTCCATAAATGTTGTGATCTCACTGATGTCAACAATTGCAGACCTATATCAATTCTACCAACCTTGTCAAAAATATTTAAAAAGCTAATCTATAAGCAGCTTTACTCTTATCTAGCCAAACACAATATACTTAGCTCTTGTCAATATGGCTTCAGACCCAAAACAGCACTAACGATGCACTTATTAGTATGATTTTCCTGCCCGAAACGCTTTGCGTAATAGTGGCTTTAGGCATTGTATGTACTAGCTCTATCTATTAACCCAACAAACTTTGTAAAATCCCTTTATGTATGTACCTTACCTAAATAAAAATTATTATTATTATTATTATTATTATTATTATTATTATTATTATTATTATTATTATTATTATTATTATTAACTTGATACATGCCGCTCTTGATAAAAATGAGTTCCCTGTTGGGTTATTTGTGGACCTGCGTAAGGCTTTTGACACTGTCAACCACCAAAACCTTCTTCTTAAATTACATCATTATGGAGTCAGAGGTCACTCCCTGCAATACCTTCAGTCTTACTTTACTGACAGGCTCCAGTGTGTTTCTGTGAATAATTCTATTTCTCCCACCCTACCCATCAACATTGGTGTTCCACAGGGCAGCATACTTGGCCCTCTCCTCTTTCTCATCTACATTAATGACCTTCCAAATGCCTCCCAACACCTCAAACCAATTCTTTTTGCTGACGACATAACCTTCATTTACTCCAGTCCTGACCCCCTTGCTCTAAATGTCACAGTGAATATTGCGCTAAATAAGGTCCATCTCTGGCTAACTGCCAACAAACTTACCCACATACATTGACAAAACTTTCTATATTTTGCTTGGCAATAAATCCTTTAATCAAATAAATCTCAGGATAAACAATACCCAAATGTGTAACAAAGTAGATGGCAAATTCCTTGGCGTTCTCATTGACCACAAGCTGAATTTCCAGGAACACATTCTAAATATATCTAAAAAAAGTTTCAAAAACTGTTGGCATTCTTTCTAAAATCAGATATTATGTACCTCGCCCTGCCCTGGTGATGCTCTATTACTCCCTTATCTATCCTTATCTCAACTATGGTATTTGTATATATATATATATATATATATATATATATATATATATATATATATATATATATATATATATATATATATATATATATATATATATATATATTTATATATTATTAAATATGACCATTCTGCTTTGTGTCTGAGAAACTCTCCAGACACAAAGCAGAACGCTTTAAAAGAGACCAACGTCGTCTATGCCTTCAAATGCCCTCTTGGGGACTGTAAGCCTCAAAAAAAACAGTATATAGGCAAGACAACAACATCTCTTTCCAGGCGTTTAACGATGCATAAGCAACAGGGCTCCATTAAGGAACATATAATCTCTTCCCACAAACAAACCATCACCAGAGAAATCTTAGCAAACAACACAGAAATCATCGATAGATACCAATCCTGATCAGGATGCCAATCCTGATCTCAAAAGCTTCATAGAAGGTTGTAACAGAACCCATGAGCACCACACCAGAAATAAATACAGTTTTGATATTCCTAGAGTACGACTTAATCAAACCAGAAATGCTCTACAAATCAAGGGGCCCAGAATGTGGAATGACCTTCCCAACCATGTTAAAGACTGTACCTCTCTCAACCAGTTTAAGTTAAAAACGAAGCTATACCTAATAAATTCTCTGTAACCTACCTTACCCCTCTGTTGTCAACCCATGTATGTTTTTTTTTTTTTTTTTTTTTTTTTTTTTTTCAAATCAACGCTGTTTGAATGTAATTTTCTGTAATAATTTGTAATGGTATTTGTGCTGCTTTTTCAACAATGTTCCCCCCTCTTTTACCTCTATTTTTATTTGTTCTCAACACATTTTATTCTTTTTCCCATTAGTTTTAAGCTTTAGTCATTAATGTTTTTCCTGCCCGAAACGCTTTGCGTAATAGTGGCTTTAGGCATTGTATGTACTAGCTCTATCTATAAAGCCAACAAACTTTGTAAAATCTCTTTATGTATGTACCTTACCTAAATAAAAATTATTATTATTATTATTATACAGCGATAGCAGGCGGCTTGACGTCTGCGAGGCACTACACATCAAGAAGTCAACACCAGCAATCAACAGCCAATTAATGCACAACTATATTCTACCCACTTCAAGACTCCGTTCCAATATAGAAGCATCAAGAAATATGGACCAATAGGCTTTCTACAATTACTTCCATTCTATACCCATTGTTTCGTGTTCTGTCTTGTGTTTGAATTTAATACCCATTCAATACCCATTGTTTCGTGTTCTGTCTTGTGTTGGAATTTAATACCCATTGAATACCCATTGCTAAAAGTTCGTTTTTCACCTCATCCACCTCACCCAAATGTAGATATAAACCTCGAAGATGTGTAAGCTCTATTCAGTTTCAGTTGTGTGTTTGTAAACTAAAGTCTTTGAAAATGTAATAAGTTTTGCGAAATGCGCTCAAGTGTCGCGTCAGACTAGAAATAAAAATGAATTTTGGAGAATTGATCTTTGAATTACCATCAACAGTGAAAAGAAATGTAAGAAAGATAGAGAAAATTCGTGTTAGAATTATTAATCTTACTTTTTCGGTCATATTTAATAATATATGTCTACAGGAAAGACTGCTACCAAAATATACTAATATATATATATATATATATATATATATATATATATATATATATATATATATATATATATATATATATATATATATATATATATATATATATATAAAACGCTGAATTGTAATGCCAATCCTGACCTTAAAAGCTTCATTGAAGGTTGTAACAGAACCCATGAGCACCACACCAGAAACAAATACCTTTTTGATATTCCAAGAGTACGACTTAATCAAACTAGAAATGCTCTACAAATCAAGGGACCCAGAATGTGGAATAACCTTCCCAATCATGTAAAAGACCGTACCTCTTTCAACCAGTTTAAGATACCCCCTAAATACCTTACCCCCTAAATGTCAACCCATGTCCTATTTTAAACAATGCTGTTTGTTAACCAAATTGTATATTTGCTATTTTTCTACCATGTTCCCCCTCTATTTTTATTTTTTATTTGTTTCAACACAATTTATACTTTAATCTCAATTGGTATTAAGTTTTAGTCTTAGTGTTTTTCTGTCCGAAACGCTTTGCGTAATAGTGGCTTTAGGTATTGTATGTACTAGCTCTATAAATCCACCAATGTTTGTATCTCACCTTGTATGTATGTACTGTACCTGAATAAACATTTGATTTGGTTTGAACCCGACTATAGTACCGGGTCCGTAAAGAAGAGCCGCTATTCTGGGATTTTCTTACTGAGAAAGGTACCCGTGCATATACCTGCTTTGCCAAGTACTGAATTTTAAGCGTCCCACTTAGTGCAGTCGGAGTCGTTCTCGATTCACAATTGAGAAAGCCGTGTTCGAATCCCGGGCGGAACAGATATTGTTGGGAGCGTTTCCTATCACCTAATGGGTCTGTTCACCTGACATTAACATGATGATGATCGGGTCGGAAGCCCGACCAGTCACACGCACCCGGAAGCCTGACCAGCCACACACACACCCGGAAGCCCGACCAACCACACACCCGGAAGCCCGACCAGTCACACACCCGGAAGCCCGACCAGTCACACACCCGGAAGCCCGACCAGCTACACAACCGGAAGCCCGACCAGCCACACCCCAGAAGACCTAACAGTTGCATAAGGAGCCCGACCACTTGAGCAATTGCTACACCATCTTACAGCATCGAGAGGGTAGAAATAGCCTAAGATACTCTATCCTTTTGAGATGTATTTTATCGTCTCAATAAACGTACTTGAACATACACGTACTTTTAAAATATTCAAGAATTTGGAGGATATTGATCCTGACAACTTCTTCACAAGGTTAGATGTAACACAAACAAGGAACAAGGGCTTCAGGCTCAACAAACCACAATTGTGTAGGAAAGAAAACAGGAGATGCTTCTTCACCCATAGAACCGCCTACCCGCCGAAGCCGTAAATGCCAAAGCACTGCTCAATTTCAAAATTCAGCTAGATAAAATCATTAGGATAAATTGGGTGACTTATTTTGACAAGCTGCCAGCTTCCTGTCCTCGTCGAGGCCACTAGAGTGTTAGTGGCTCTAAGGTAAATTCAGGTATTAATAGTTAAGGTATACTTAATTGCCAATTCTAATAATTATTTAAAAAATATAAATGCCGAGATTCTTAGGGGGGTAAACTTGAAGAAAAGAAGCTAACTCAAGTTTTAAGCACCATGATAAAGCAGAGGAGAATAAGAAGCATATTGAGGAAGAAAGTTGGAGGTGAAGGTGTGATAATATAGGAGTGAATGAACTGCTCGCGCCGCCCCGGCCTATCGACTGCTCTCGCCACACCACTGCCAAAAATTGTGCGAGAATCCAATTACGGAGAACTTCCTACATGTTTTCCCAATTCCTGGCCAATAGAAAGCATACTCGAGCCGTGTTGAAGCAGGCAACAATCCTATCCAAAAAACCAATGGTATCAAAGTTAGAACATAAGCCCGGAAAGTAGATATATGAAGTAGTGGTTTCCACATTTGTTAGCAACGCGAGCAACAACAGACGATAACAACAGAGCACAGAGGCCAGCTGATCCGACCAGGTGCTGATGGGATTTAGGGAGGTTTTGGCGGGGTTTAAGGCTTCCTCCCGTCTCTACAGGTAGGCATGTTAACCCCAGCAGTGCCAGTGAGTGCCACAGCCGGCTGGTAATTGGTCATACCTGCTGGGGTGAGCTTGTGTGAGGGGATTAGTGAAGGAAGATTCCTTGTCCTACGCAGGCTGGGGGAATTCTCAACATCGTCTACTGTCAATCTATATTTTTTTTAATTTCCGTAATTTATATTCAGGTTTTCTACCCAACTTCTTGGCTGAATGTAATCAGCAAGTGCTTTTTCTTCTTCCTATTGTGATGGTAAAGTTTGTTTTTTAACATTTCTTAATTAAGAGCGTCCACAGGCGGAGGCGACTATAATGTGGGTGTTGACTTGAAAGAAATGTTGACAGTTCATTAGATTAGCATTTTTAGTTGTGGTTGTGATTAAGTACACCTTGGTGTAAGGTTCCTTCAAGGCTTTGTGTATATGTCTTTATATTTTAATGTATATCCAAATACGCTAGAGTATTTGTCCAGATGGGCCTTAGGCTTACTGTATGTTAGCTCTAACTGTGCTAATGGGAGATTTTTCTCTGTATATTCATAGGTAACATACTACTAAATTAAACCTGACGGCTATTATCTGATCAAATAAAAAAAAGGAAATGTGAGTTACATGGTAGTCTATCATATACCCAACTCGCTCAAAAGCTAAAATTAGCTAATATTAAAAAAATGAACAAAACTGGAGAAGGTCTATTGGCTTATACATGGAAGCCTCTGCTTATGTAAAACTAAACTCATTCACCCCCCGTCCCATCCTAAATCCTTATCCTGACCCCCTTCCCAAATGCTATATACTGTAGTCATAATAGCTTGATGCCTTCCCCTGATAATACCCTTTCATATTCAGCACATGTGTAATGTGCTTCCACAGTATGCTCTGATACATCACATTAATATGATTTCTTTGTGCATTTGACAAGAGAAGTGTTTGAGGTTGACTTCCTAAATTACAAGCCAGCGTACATGGATGGGGGGGTGAGGGGGGCATTGTGTGAAACCCTGATTTCTGGCTTCATTGGAATCCTAGAGGATTCAATTGATTCCTAGGTTGCAGTGCTTTTGACCATGTTGTCAAATGTATGACCATGTATACTAAGCATTTCTGTCAGCTAGACATTATTATTATACAGTGCACTAAATATTACTACTGTATAAGCTAAGCATTATTATACAATACACTAAACATTAATATAAGCTAAGCTTTTCTGTAAACTAAGCATTATTATACAGTGTACTAACAATTACTGTATGCTATCTAGAGTAAATGCTGACACCCCATACTACCACATATAGTAATATATATATATATAATGCTTAGAGGGTTCCTTAACAGAAGCCTCCGAACATTTCAACATCCACCCCCATTACTCAGCCATTAGGATGTTGAAGCTCCATGTGTCAAATATGTTATAGAATAATATAGGTAAACCGTGTTTTATACGATGATGCCAGCACCCAGGTGACCGAATACATTGTGAGTAAGGTAATTTGGGTTGCCTTCTTTCAGGTATTGGGGATATTATCATCACCTAAGTATTGCATATACTGTACTGCTTGCATTGACAAGATTTTGGTGTCTTTCATGTCATACAATAAGTTTATTTATTTATCTATTTATCTATTTATCTCGTCTATCTATCTATATACAGTACAGTATACATTTATTTTGAATACTGTATAAGTAACTTTATATGTTGACTGGAGGCTAGTAGCTTTACTATATTCAGTTTGAACATTATGAAAATATAAATATACAAGTTTTGGCTACTTGTGATGTTTTCTAAATGTTAAACATCTTTCACAGAGTTTAAATTGAATGGGAAGTGGAGTTACTGTACTGCCCGAACTTGTGTCCTCGCGACATGAGTGAATAAGGTATGTAGGCTGAGAGGATATTAAACAAATTAATACTCTTGAAAGATAAATTTTATGGTGATGAATAGTAATTTTGACTTTTGCTTTGAGCTAGCGCTAATGTATTATACAGTAATTAATTTTGCTTGAGTGTATTACTTGGAAGTACAGTATAATTAATGGTGTTTGCATGGGATGACAGAGCAATTCTTGGGTGCTTGCATAAATTGGGAAGACCTGTGTGGAGTAACACAATGATGCATAGTGGAATTTTTCTTATTTTGACTAGGGAATATAAGCATTGAAATAGGTGTGGTTGAAACGGTACCACAATGGTGGGATTCTCTGGGTTAACAGATATTCAGAAGGGTCTCTCACTCAGCATAATGTGCACCACTCGAACTAATAATATTGATACATTTAATTTTATTGTGCTCCATTTCATACTACTGTACAGTACAATACTTGATCAGTATATTGTACTAACACTTAAATGTTTTGGGTCCTGCTACTACTACTTCAGTGCATCCAGTGTGTACATACTGGTTAGATTTGTTGATTATTGGGAAAGGGATCAATATTTTCCTTGACCTTGAATTATTCAGGACTGGCATGTCTAATGACGGAACTCTGACATGAGAAGACCAGGCTGCTTGCACGTTCTTGTATGTTTCATCACCTTGGATGTCAATTGTGAATCTTGTAAGGTACAATTCTGATATTTCTGTTTATGGGAAAAAGAGAATCTTGTTGCAGATTCGATCTATCTTCTTGTATCATGCAGTGTAATGAATTGAATGCTTAAGTATATATATTGACTGCTTTGAGATGCATTGTGGTGTTTGGTCAGCAAGTTTACATCATAAACTGCAACATTAGCTTAGGGCAAGTTGGTCTTCACTTTATAAACTGAAAAATGTATAAATATTTTTTTATTTTTTATTTATTTATATACAAGAAGGTACATTGGGTTTGTGAGAATACATAGCATAGTACAGTTATTACACTCTTGTAAAGCCACTAGTACGTGCAGCGTTTCAGGCAGATTTATCCAAAGGGGCTTTTTACCCAAAGGGGCAAAGATTTTCGGACATATTTATCCAAAGTTTTCCACTGTTCAAGAACTGCTATTTTAAATGCAGTATATGTAGATACATATAGTAACAGTACATAGGAAAATAGTACTAATAGTAAATAATAGTACTAACAATTAATAATACATAATTGTACACACACAAAACAAGGAATAGTACTGTACTCACAGTGCATAAGGTAATACTATTAATATTACAGAAGATATTACGGTACTACTAACAATACACAAGGGTAATACTACTAACAATACACAAGGGTAATACTACTAACAATACACAAGGTAATACTACTAACAATACACAGGGTAATATTACTAACAATACACAAGGGTAATACTACTAACAATACACAAGGTAATACTACTAACAATACACAGGGTAATACTACTAACAATACCCAAGGGTAATACTACTAACAATACACAAGGTAATACTACTAACAATACACAGGGTAATACTACTAACAATACACAAGGGTAATACTACTAACAATACACAAGGTAATACTACTAACAATACACAGGGTAATACTACTAACAATACACAAGGGTAATACTACTAACAATACACAAGGTAATACTACTAACAATACACAGGGTAATATTACTAACAATACACAAGGGTAATACTACTAACAATACACAAGGTAATACTACTAACAATACACAAGGTAATACTACTAACAATACACAAGGGTAATACTACTAACAATACACAAGGGTAATACTACTAACAATACACAGGGTAATATTACTAACAATACACAAGGGTAATACTACTAACAATACACAAGGTAATACTACTAACAATACACAAGGTAATACTACTAACAATACACAAGGTAATACTACTAACAATACACAAGGGTAATACTACTAACAATACACAAGGGTAATACTACTAACAATACACAGGGTAATACTACTAACAATACACAGGGTAATATTACTAACAATACACAGGGTAATACTACTAACAATATACAAGGTAATACTACTAACAATACACAAGGGTAATACTACTAACAATACACAGGGTAATACTACTAACAGTACACAAGGGTAATACTACTAACAATACACAGGGTAATACTACTAACAATACACAAGGTAATACTACTAACAATACACAAGGTAATACTACTAACAATACACAGGGTAATACTACTAACAATACACAGGGTAATATTACTAACAATACACAAGGGTAATACTACTAACAATACACAAGGTAATACTACTAACAATACACAAGGTAATACTACTAACAATACACAAGGGTAATACTACTAACAATACACAGGGTAATACTACTAACAATACACAGGGTAATATTACTAACAATACACAAGGGTAATACTACTAACAATACACAAGGTAATACTACTAACAATACACAGGGTAATACTACTAACAATACACAAGGGTAATACTACTAACAATACACAGGGTAATACTACTAACAATACACAAGGTAATACTACTAACAATACACAAGGGTAATACTACTAACAATACACAGGGTAATACTACTAACAATACACAAGGTAATACTACTAACAATACACAAGGGTAATACTACTAACAATACACAGGGTAATACTACTAACAATACACAAGGGTAATACTACTAACAATACACAAGGGTAATACTACTAACAATACACAAGGGTAATACTACTAACAATACACAAGGTAATACTACTAACAATACACAAGGGTAATACTACTAACAATACACAGGGTAATACTACTAACAATACACAAGGGTAATACTACTAAAAATACACAAGGGTAATACTACTAACAATACACAAGGTAAATACTACTAACAATGCACAAGGGTAATACTACTAACAATATACAAGGTAATACTACTAACAATACACAAGGGTAATACTACTAACAATATACAAGGTAATACTACTAACAATACACAAGGGTAATACTACTAACAATATACAAGGGTAATACTACTAACAATACACAAGGGTAATACTACTAACAATATACAAGGTAATACTACTAACAATACACAAGGGTAATACTACTAACAATACACAAGGGTAATACTACTAACAATACACAAGGTAATACTACTAACAATACACAAGGTAATACTACTAACAATACACAAGGGTAATACTACTAACAATATACAAGGTAATACTACTAACAATACACAAGGTAATACTACTAACAATACACAAGGTAATACTACTAACAATACACAAGGTAATACTACTAACATTACACAAGGTAATACTACTAACAATACGGTAATACTACTAACAATACACAAGGTAATACTACTAACAATACACAAGGTAATACTATTAACAATACACAAGGTAATACTATTAACAATACACACGGTAATACTACTAACAATACGGTAATACTACTAACAATACACAAGGTAATGCTACTAACAATACACAAGGGTAATACTACTAACAATACACACGGTAATATTACTAACAGTACACAAGGTAATACTACTAACAATACACAAGGGTAATACTACTAACAATATACAAGGTAATACTACTAACAATACACAAGGTAATGCTACTAACAATACACAAGGTAATGCTACTAACAATACACAAGGGTAATACTACTAACAATACACACGGTAATATTACTAACAGTACACAAGGTAAATACAGTACTACTAACAATACAGAAGTTTAGTGAAACAAAATTTTGTACAGAATCAAAATGTTTATTCTACAGTGCAGGGTATTCGAACTATTTTTCGAGCAGTAAAATAGGTACCTGGGTGTTAGTCAGCTGTCACGGGCTGCTTCCTGGGGGTGGAGGCCTGGTTGAGGACTGGGCCGCGGGGACACTAAAAAGCCCCAAAATCATCTCAAGATAACCTCAAGAGGATAGCATAATTTATATAGAAATACTGTTGAGCATCACAGTTATGATGATTTTATTGTTGAGCTTTTCTTGACATTCTATTTTATCATTTTTAATGTTGCAACATTCTAGCTAAATTTGGCATGTTAGCATGTTAATGTAATGGGTATATTTGCAGGAGTAATGTGGTGTTGTCGACCCGCGTTCCAGTTACAGTGAGTATTGCTTTAATCTTATTTTTGCTACATGTTTCTTTTTATGTGTTTGCTCTATACATGATATATATATATTTCAAATCTTCAGTCTGACTGTATGGTATATCTTTAGGTTACAGTCTTAAAGTATGCATAAGTTTTGAATATGCCAAATAAGAATGAAAAGTCCGAACTTACAACTACCAGTTTTCTTTCCAACTTATTAACAGAAGTTAAAGATATGTGAAGGCTTCTGTCACATGTCAGTCCTCTTGGGGATAAAGGAATTACTGTACCGTAATACTGCAGTTTTTTGTGCGTATCTTGCTTTTATAAATGTCATGTATACCAAATGTTGTTCTAATTACTGAAAACTATTGGGGTTAATAAATATTTAATTGCATGTTAATATATCATTGTATATTTGGCTGACTGGGTTTTTATTTCCATTGGACGGGATTTTTGTTGTGCATTGAGTTTGATTTTTACCTGATGGGGGAACACTTGTGGCTCATGAGGTGTCTGTATGGAGTTGCTGAGATACAATACTATGCTGGGATAGTATAGTGGTCTACAGTCTTGACTTGCACTTGAGGATACCGAGTTCGATACCCGGACGCGACAGATATGGCTGGGCACGATTTCTAGCACTTGATAAATGTGTTTACCTAGAAGTAAATAGGTACTATGGTGTTAGGTAACTGATATTGGTTAGATCCTGGGCAAGGGGATCTTGATAAGCTTAAAAACAGGCTTCTTGTCCCAGACAACAGGAATTATATCTTCCTGAGGAGACCATTAATACAGTTGTTTCTAATTAGGTAATGTTTGGTTTTAGAGTATAACAATATCCTTTGCTGATTGTCAGGGAGGGATAAATGATTTACACTGGTAGTGACCTCAGTTACAAGAATGACTTGTAAACCTGCTGAAGTAGGCAACTTTGTTGTTACAGTTGATTGCTACCTAACCATGTCTGACTTCTAACTTTCTATTGTAGCTGTATTTTAGTTGTGAGTTCCCACGACTAGCCAGAGGATAGTAGGCATGCTAAAAGTATTCATTCCTTTTGGCATGAATTATGTGGCTCTGTTGGACCATTGACCCCTTACCACCTCATTTGACTTGACTTTACATAGTTACAGTATACTGTACACATGAATGCATATGAAATTACAAACGAGGATAGAACCACAAGATAGGGTTACTTTACCTTAAGGTGATTCTGAAGAACAATATCCTCGTGGCCCAGTCTTTGACTAGGCAGAACTAGTCACATACCATAGCAATAAGAGGTGAAACTGATAGTGATAAGTAAAGTGATCTTCCCAAGAGGATACATAGAAATAAATAAGGAGTGGGTTCCACAGGGAGTG